GTGGACGGGGATAGGTTGAGATCCCCGAGTTCCGCTCTTCTCTCCCCCCCCTGTTCAATCAAGCGTGGGGGGGTACAACCAATTAATGCAATTTCCAAAGCAACGAACAAAATGTCGCATTTCACCCAATCACCAAAAACTCATCTGATATCGACGAAGCTCGACGCCGCGGTCACGCCCAAAGTTGTTTCACTTTCCAAATCGTTTTTTTTCGAAAAATATCGCGAAAAACAAGATTGTGAATATTTGCCCGAACGGACCATAGTCTAGACAAAAACCCAAAGCCACAGCAGGTTTCCAGCCCTCAGGCAGCACCACGGCGCTAGGCCTCACTAGACCTTACCCACCCCTAACCCCAACCCTAACCCGAACCCAACACCCCCCAAATAGATTGTGGTGCAGTGGGTAGGCCTAGGTCGCTGCACCGAGCTACTGTAGCGTGTTTTTTCTGTGCCAGTAGTAGTACTGGCAATTTTCGCCGCGGGGTGGTGGACACATGATAATTTTCAAGTTCTCTGGCACCCTTACACAGAGCAACAGCGATCCTACACCCATCCACACACAGCAACAGCAGCTCCCACGACGTACGGCATTAGTTGAGCATGGCAGAAAACACCAGTTCGCATAAAGCATCCCGAACTCCATGAAGCGGGCTTCATTCTCTGCCTCGCTGTCTCCGTCCGCAGCCCCCCTCCCTCCTCTCCGTACTCGAGGAGCATCACCGGGTGCTTCACAGCTTCGCTGAAGAAGAGGAGGTGGAAACAGATGCTTGTGTCTCAGTAACTGAGCTCCACCATGTCCGCCGCGTGCATCGCACCAGCCCTCTGTTGAAGAGCCGTCTGCCTCACGGTCTTCCGGTACCCCGACGAAGTCACCATGAGGCTTGCACGGGCGTAATCGCGCAATGCCTAGTTCACGCGCTGCTGGTGGTTCTTCGGGGTAAAAGGAAACTTGCCAGAAACTTGCCCACAAAGAGCAAAACTGAGCCAAGACCAAAATTGTCTTTTTCTCCGGTCTTTGAGGGCAATTCAGCAAAGCCCGCTCAAACTTGGGAGATGAGCTCCAATACAAAAATGCACCATCATCACCACCGCCGCCTCGGTTCGGACGGCGACGCTCGGCGTGAACCGGTGGGTAGAGATAGAGATTTCTCGAGCAGGCTTGGCGCATCTCAGAAACGGGTCGCGAAAACGAGCTCCGTCGATCGCCAGGCAAAGCCCCTCGGTAGCCGGTCATCAGATACAACAGCTCGCACGTCGACAGCGTCAGATAGAAAGGAGGCGGGTCATGAAAATACTAGCGATGAGCACCGAAAGCCAAGACGTTCTTCTTCCCCCTCTCGTTCGGCCTCCTCGTCAACGGCAGCGATGCTACCTTCTACCTCCGGCGCGGGGTTCTTCGGGAATTTCGACGATTCGCGCTATTGGGACTATCTATGCCTTCAGGCTGACGCAACGGCAAGACATTGGGAATCGATGCAGGGAGTGCAAGGAACCGTTCCTGAAACTGAACGAGGAAATTGCGGTGAGAAGGTCAGTCGGTCAGTCGCGAGTGAGTGAGAAGGTGTGCAGTCTTTCTGCGAGATTATATGTACTTTGAAAAAACAAGTTTCCTATGGTCCGTCCGGGACATTTTTTTTTTTTTCTAGTTATCACACAACAAATCCATTCACGTTTTGTGCGATAACTTTCGTAAAAAAAAGAAGTTGGGACATGAAACAACGATATTCGTGATCGCCTCGTCGAGCTACGTCGATAGCTGCAGAGTTATTTTAATTTTGGGGAAATGCAACATTTTGTTCGTTTCTTTCGAAATTGCATTAATTGGTCGTACCCCCCCACGCTTGAACAGGGGGGGGAGAGCAGAGTGGAACTCGGGGATCTCAACCTATCCCCGTCCACACCACCATCAGTATAAACCAGTCACCGCACCATCAGGCATACTCTCGAAGTCATGCCTGCCCCGCACAGACTCAGATATCCATGCATACAACATATACTCCGAAGCATAGTCTACTATGCACAGATAATAATGCCGCGCGACCTACATTTCCACGGAAAGGAAATGCAAATTCAGAAACAAAAATTGCCGGCACTTGAAAGCCCCACATGTTGCACAAACATGCAAGTGCATGAAAATTGAACTGGAAGTACTCCTAGCACAGCACTCATCCCCCTCTCACTCAGCGCCAGTTGATAGCAACAACTTCCAACTGCGCGTCCACTCCCCCGGGATGCCGTGTGCTCCATACACTCTCTTCTCTCCAAATTGCACGCATGTTCCGATGTACGGTACCAACCTCAATATACCGCACATATACCACATGATTGTGATGTACCGTGAAATACACCACTGCTTGCCCATGTCTAGTCGCGCTACCTCGTCAAGCTCATCAACGGTCGCACACACGCTATACCGCACGAACCCCCACGTTGGGTTCGCGCCCGCCCCCCGACCACCGGCCCACAGCTACAGCCGAACCTGTCGACCATAACCTCACATCCAGTCACTACTGTGCCCTCGCCTCCTTCCGTGGCACAGCAACTTAGGCGCTCTCACCCGCACTGAGAGTACCGCAAACATCACGCGACAGACACACCCGAGCAAGGACCCTCTACACAAGAGACCCTCGCCCCATCAGCAGTGTCGGCAAACGACCACACCTTCCTCGTTCACCACTACTGGCGATCCGTCCTCGCCCTACCACTGACACCAAACCAGTCACCGCACCATCAGGCATACTCTCAAAGTCATGCCTGCCCCCAACCTATCCGCGGACTGGTTTACCATACTGATCATCTGTACTCTCTCTCCCCCCCTACCGTGGTTCCCACTATTATAACGACCATTTTACCCTCTTCACACACACGCCATCCCCTCCTTTTACGGCTCGCTCTCACCAGCCTCTGGGACTACGTCACCCCACTCTGTACCCTGTCCCGGTTGCCTCATTGCATCATCCTCCGACGCCAAGGTACTAGAAACCCACTCTGCATCTTTCCCATGGTTCCTTACGTACGGCCGATACCCCGTTTCCCCAGTCCATCTCCCCTCTCGTCTCAGAACTTCTGGCGACGCTCCCCCCTCTGCCAAGTACCTGGCGCCCCCAATCCGAAGGGAATGCAATGCGTACTCGGACGACGGCAGACCCGCCAACGACACGACTTGCCGCAGCGCTCCCGTCGCGTGACGACGAGTCCACACGGACCATCGCCCCTCCCCGGTTCCGAACGCGACTAACGGAGCAGGGAGAACAGGGTAGCATGACAGGAGTTCAATCATCACATCGACTGCACCCCCCCCACACTCCACAGACTGGGGAGGCCCCGGCCTCGCCCGCATACACACGGCACCCTTCCGAAACTGGTCGCCTTTCGACGACCGACACCGCATCTCGACTCTGTCGGCCTCTCCCCTCCGTCCAGGAGGCAACTGGCGAGAACCCAAAAAGAACGCCACGTCCCCCCGACGCAACCCATGACAAGAATCCATGGCCAACGAGGACACAGCGAACATTTCGCATGCCCGCATCAAGAAAAAAAATGACGCACTCAACGCCAGAAACAACACGCGCCCACCCGTGCCCCACTGTGGCACCAGACGCCCCCCTTCCTTCAGCATNGGCAACTGGCGAGAACCCAAAAAAAACGCCACGTCCCCCCGACGCAACCCATGACAAGAATCCATGGCCAACGAGGACCCAGCGAACATTTCGCATGCCCGCATCAAGAAAAAAAATGACGCACTTAGCGCCAGAAACAACGCGCGCCCACCCGTGCCCCACTGTGGCACCAGACGCCCCCCTTCCTTCAGCATCGACGACGACACCGGACGTTGCACCCGTTGCTGCGTACCAACACCCGCATGCCCTCGCGCCACCCCTCTGAGCGCCTGCTTGATCAAAGAATGGCATGTATCAACTTCCATTGCATACGACAAGCGGTGAAAAAATTAACAGCAGGCAAATGACCAGCTATCGTCGTCTGCCTCAAGCCCAGCACCGTGAACGCGTATGCCACGTACTCCAACAATTGCGAAACACTATCCGGCGATGGAGACGACGGCATCATAAACGCCGGTCTCCCCACAACGTCCTCTCGAAACTTCACCCACGCTCCAAAAAATCCCAGGTAAGTTCGTTCAGACGACGGCGCAAGTGCGTGCCGGAAGAGCTCGAAGCCAGCACGGTGGAGCACAACTCGCGCTCCGTCGGGCCTAACTCCACGATCTG